CCACTTTAACGTCAGCGTTAGACGGCGCCAAGGTGATCTTTGTGGACTCTAGGGACAAAAAACAAGAGCGTGAGTAGAGCTGTGATGTGAAGAAAGAGGTCAGTGAAGCCGCAGAAACTACATTTATGTTATGAAATCTTCATCCTAATAGAAGGAAAGATAAAGAAAATTACTTTAATGACGAAGCAGTTGCACAGTGTGAGGAAACATAGGTCAATGATATTCTGTTTGTATGAAGTGGCTTGAATTGTGCAACATTCACAGTTGTCCAGGAGAGGGCAGAAAAGAGCTATACATTGAGCACTACTGGAGCTCAAATACAAGAAAAAGATGTTGACAGCTGAGAATGCATGTGAAGAGAAAAGAAATGACAAAGCATAAAAACACTAATCTATATACTTATTTGTTATTCAATCAAACTATCTCAACAAGTTCACAACTGAAGTCCTCTTTTTTCTTGAACAGTTTCTTCTAGTCTCTTGTTTCATCACATCTGATCTAAAGCCGCCCCCCTCTCGCCTCTGCCCTAGAGAAATGACTGAATATCCATCCAGACGGCCTTAATCCAACAAGAGACATTTGGAGGAGGAGACTGACTGGTGGGACAGACATCGACAGGAGCGAATGACAGGGAAGGCAAAACAGCTGAAACAGTCCTGGACACATTATGAAGTAAGACAGTACAGGTGAGTGATGAGTGAAGAATCTTCCAATGGCTGAAACGTACCTGTAACCAGCAGAGTGCCCGTGCTGTTGGCCTTCCCTCTGTCATTCTCCGCAAAGCAGGTGTACTTTCCTTCATCTGCTTGGGTCACGTTAAGGATCTCCAGACTCCCATCATCCCAGATGAACACCCTGAGGAGAAAGCGGAATACATTTGTCACACTCTGATGAGAAGGAGCTATACGTTATAAAACAAACAGCACAATATGACGGTCAAACGTCCAGAGTATGTTTCGCTATGCTGATGATGAAATGCAATGAAGGTACTTTGAATGTTTTAAAGATCATTTGTTTTCAAGGAAGTGACTGGAAAAAGAAAAGAGTCATTAGTTTCTGTAAATGTCTTTTTCATGCATGACAAACAGCATCGTACCAGCTGCCCCGACACTCTCTACTCTACGACACCCTCTCTAACGCAGAGAGCCGCCATAGAAGGTATTAGGAGGCATATGCAGCATGGTAATTTTTCTGCAGCTCCTCCTCTGTGTGAGTTCCTCCATAGTGCATGTAGGGGGGGGTATGAAGAGTGGGGGTCTTAGAGCTCAAAGATTAGGCTTGTTTAGTCGGTGAGGAGCACAAGACGGGGGTTTACACATCCACTCTGTAAAAGCTGACGAGCTTCAGAATGAGCTTAATGTCAACCCCGCACAGACAGCAAATCACATGACTTAAGACTTCTCTGGCACATAGAGTAGATTTTGGAGATCTAGGGCTTATTTAGATCCCCAATATCACTAAACTGTTTTTAGCTACTGTGGAGGCCCTCTCAGACATTTGTCCTTGAGTGATTATGACCCAGATGTGTCGAACAGTCACAGAAAATAGGTGGATGAATAGTCACATGAATACCACGGTGGTACAATTTGCCATGATAAACCTCTAAATGAATGAATATCCACACGATATTTCCACAAATACCATCTGTGCCATCTTTTTTTTAAAAAGCGCTGACCTGGTAGAGTTATGAAGCAGCTCGGTGTCTTTGCTCCAGTAGAAGCTCGGCTTTGGAGCCGCTTTGGGTCGACATTGAATCACCACCCGGCCGTTTCTCGCAGCCAGGACTCTCTTCACTGGGTTGTGTTTGAATGTGGGAGCACAGGCTGGGTGAGGAGGGACAACATGGATTACTCAACACAAACTTAGTAGAATAGCAATCAACTGCAGGCATGCCTACATTTATGACACGTTTTCCATTCATTAAAAAAAGGGTTGTGTAAATATTGTACATGCCAGTGCTACTTTACATGACGGGGGAGAAAATCCTTTGGGAAGTTGTTTTTCCTAACTAAATCTGACAATGCACTCCACAAGTCCTAATGAGCTCCAATTAGTCAGCTAGAAACGTGACCTTTAAATCTCCAATGTAGCCATTTGTGCTGCGGCTAGCTGTAGCCAGAGCGTGACTCACCGAACACACGCAGCTCCGCATTGGCGTATATGACTCCGTGGCGATTCTCCGCGATGCACTGATACATCCCTGAATCTTCAAACATCAATCTGCTGAACTTCATTTCTTTCCTGTCAGTCTGGAGGAAATAACAGGAGTGAAGAATTAAAATGCCTTGTCACATTTCAATGTTTTAAATAAAACTCGATTACTAAGCAAAACATCAACGATTTGAATCAAACCAGAGATTGTTGACATCCACTGAGGTACAGAAGACAGCAATTAATTCACAGAGGCAAGAGGTTTCATTAATACATCATGATGTGTTCAGTCACCTTATTTCAAACAACCTCTCCCACTCTGATGAAACTACCTGCTTCCTCTCTGGGGGATTTTTCCAGCCTGATGACAGTTGTTTCTATGTAGAGTGACACAACCCACGCTGGCATCGGTTCAATAACAACAGCTACTTTTCCCTGACACCGTGTGCACCCGCAGTGCCAGATTCCTGTCACTGCTGTGCTACTGTAACAACCCCGGGCTGCACATTGAGCAGTTTCTAAGAGGCTGTGCAGACCTTTTAAGAGGGCTCCGTGTATATTCCAGAAAAATGATTAACATAATAAATGTTTATGAGTTTGAATATTACCAGTTCTCCATTTTTCAGCCAGCGGATATGTGGTTTAGGTTTGCCACTGGCAATGCAGGGCATGGTGTAATCACTGCTGTAGGTCTAGCACATTTTCTCAGGCTTCTGTTTTTTTTACAGCTGCAATGCCTCAAGTACTGACACATATCTATTATTTAGTAGCTTTATAGTGTTTTTCACACTCTTACTTCTTATATGCAGCTTATCCTGAGTGGGTGGAGCACATCAGCAGCACAGAAAAAGACCTCAGCAGTGATTACACCATGCCCTGCATTGCCAGTGGCAAACCTAAACCACATATCCGCTGGCTGAAAAATGGAGAACTGGTAATATTCAAACTCATAAACATTTATTATGTTAATCATTTTTCTGGAATATACACGGAGCCCTCTTAAAAGGTCTGCACAGCCTCTTAGAAACTGCTCAATGTGCAGCCCGGGGTTGTTACAGTAGCACAGCAGTGACAGGAATCTGGCACTGCGGGTGCACACGGTGTCAGGGAAAAGTAGCTGTTGTTATTGAACCGATGCCAGCGTGGGTTGTGTCACTCTACATAGAAACAACTGTCATCAGGCTGGAAAAATCCCCCAGAGAGGAAGCAGGTAGTTTCATCAGAGTGGGAGAGGTTGTTTGAAATAAGGTGACTGAACACATCATGATGTATTAATGAAACCTCTTGCCTCTGTGAATTAATTGCTGTCTTCTGTACCTCAGTGGATGTCAACAATCTCTGGTTTGATTCAAATCGTTGATGTTTTGCTTAGTAATCGAGTTTTATTTAAAACATTGAAATGTGACAAGGCATTTTAATTCTTCACTCCTGTTATTTCCTCCAGACTGACAGGAAAGAAATGAAGTTCAGCAGATTGATGTTTGAAGATTCAGGGATGTATCAGTGCATCGCGGAGAATCGCCACGGAGTCATATACGCCAATGCGGAGCTGCGTGTGTTCGGTGAGTCACGCTCTGGCTACAGCTAGCCGCAGCACAAATGGCTACATTGGAGATTTAAAGGTCACGTTTCTAGCTGACTAATTGGAGCTCATTAGGACTTGTGGAGTGCATTGTCAGATTTAGTTAGGAAAAACAACTTCCCAAAGGATTTTCTCCCCCGTCATGTAAAGTAGCACTGGCATGTACAATATTTACACAACCCTTTTTTAATGAATGGAAAACGTGTCATAAATGTAGGCATGCCTGCAGTTGATTGCTATTCTACTAAGTTTGTGTTGAGTAATCCATGTTGTCCCTCCTCACCCAGCCTGTGCTCCCACATTCAAACACAACCCAGTGAAGAGAGTCCTGGCTGCGAGAAACGGCCGGGTGGTGATTCAATGTCGACCCAAAGCGGCTCCAAAGCCGAGCTTCTACTGGAGCAAAGACACCGAGCTGCTTCATAACTCTACCAGGTCAGCGCTTTTTAAAAAAAAGATGGCACAGATGGTATTTGTGGAAATATCGTGTGGATATTCATTCATTTAGAGGTTTATCATGGCAAATTGTACCACCGTGGTATTCATGTGACTATTCATCCACCTATTTTCTGTGACTGTTCGACACATCTGGGTCATAATCACTCAAGGACAAATGTCTGAGAGGGCCTCCACAGTAGCTAAAAACAGTTTAGTGATATTGGGGATCTAAATAAGCCCTAGATCTCCAAAATCTACTCTATGTGCCAGAGAAGTCTTAAGTCATGTGATTTGCTGTCTGTGCGGGGTTGACATTAAGCTCATTCTGAAGCTCGTCAGCTTTTACAGAGTGGATGTGTAAACCCCCGTCTTGTGCTCCTCACCGACTAAACAAGCCTAATCTTTGAGCTCTAAGACCCCCACTCTTCATACCCCCCCTACATGCACTATGGAGGAGCTCACACAGAGGAGGAGCTGCAGAAAAATTACCATGCTGCATATGCCTCCTAATACCTTCTATGGCGGCTCTCTGCGTTAGAGAGGGTGTCGTAGAATAGAGAGTGTCGGGGCAGCTGGTACGATGCTGTTTGTCATGCATGAAAAAGACATTTACAGAAACTAATGACTCTTTTCTTTTTCCAGTCACTTCCTTGAAAACAAATGATCTTTAAAACATTCAAAGTACCTTCATTGCATTTCATCATCAGCATAGCGAAACATACTCTGGACGTTTGACCGTCATATTGTGCTGTTTGTTTTATAACGTATAGCTCCTTCTCATCAGAGTGTGACAAATGTATTCCGCTTTCTCCTCAGGGTGTTCATCTGGGATGATGGGAGTCTGGAGATCCTTAACGTGACCCAAGCAGATGAAGGAAAGTACACCTGCTTTGCGGAGAATGACAGAGGGAAGGCCAACAGCACGGGCACTCTGCTGGTTACAGGTACGTTTCAGCCATTGGAAGATTCTTCACTCATCACTCACCTGTACTGTCTTACTTCATAATGTGTCCAGGACTGTTTCAGCTGTTTTGCCTTCCCTGTCATTCGCTCCTGTCGATGTCTGTCCCACCAGTCAGTCTCCTCCTCCAAATGTCTCTTGTTGGATTAAGGCCGTCTGGATGGATATTCAGTCATTTCTCTAGGGCAGAGGCGAGAGGGGGGCGGCTTTAGATCAGATGTGATGAAACAAGAGACTAGAAGAAACTGTTCAAGAAAAAAGAGGACTTCAGTTGTGAACTTGTTGAGATAGTTTGATTGAATAACAAATAAGTATATAGATTAGTGTTTTTATGCTTTGTCATTTCTTTTCTCTTCACATGCATTCTCAGCTGTCAACATCTTTTTCTTGTATTTGAGCTCCAGTAGTGCTCAATGTATAGCTCTTTTCTGCCCTCTCCTGGACAACTGTGAATGTTGCACAATTCAAGCCACTTCATACAAACAGAATATCATTGACCTATGTTTCCTCACACTGTGCAACTGCTTCGTCATTAAAGTAATTTTCTTTATCTTTCCTTCTATTAGGATGAAGATTTCATAACATAAATGTAGTTTCTGCGGCTTCACTGACCTCTTCTTCACATCACAGCTCTACTCACGCTCTTGTTTTTTGTCCCTAGAGTCCACAAAGATCACCTTGGCGCCG